CTCTCTCTCTCTCTCGTTCTTTTACTCACTTCAGTCTTTGAACGAAAATAAATCTCAAACTCGTAATAATTTAAATGTTAATTTTAATAATCAAAATGTTTGACAAGAGATTTATTCTAATAATATTACACACAATGCAAACCCGATAGAAGTGAACATTTGTTTTTCGGTTCAATTATCCTTTATATCGAGTTTCCTCAATACAAGGCTTTGGATTATATTTACTGAAAATGAATTAAGTATTTTTACATTGCATTACATTTAATCAGTAAAACAAATGCCTTTTGATTGTTTTAAAAATAGTATACATCGTATTTTACTCTAGACTTTTGATTTGTTATATTAATTCAAAACTCATGCAAAAACTCTTAGCTGCTTAAATGATTGTAATCAATGTTAACTGTGAATCGTGGTCAAATCTATCAATTTCACGTAAGAATATTCGTATTATAATAATAAGCAATGAATTTTCAATCATTTTCATATTAACGCAACGATTATTGGTCTCGACCTCAGGATATGACGAGTTTCGTAATAATTTCACTGTCGATGACTTTTCGCTCTCAAATGTTTTATACAGTAATTTTAAATCTTATTTTTATTTATTATCGCAAAACTTCACAAATATTAGCTCATTATCTCTGAATTTGGACACATATTGCCAATCAAATAATCATTTTATAATAAATAGTCTCCAAACTAGATCTCGACTTTCATATGCTTTTTCTTTTTTGCATTCCTAAGCTTTCTTTCACACAGTTTAGGGCAATAACAGTGTTTTCAACGAAAATACAATGATTTTACTCAAAATTGTGATTTAATTTTGTTTTGTGAATTCACTAATAAAAGGCTCGCATAATGTTATGCGTGCAGTAAAATGAATGCCTTTATAGCGGGTATTGCTTTATTGGCGATCGCTTTTCATGCCATCACAATAATACACAATAACAGCAGTTACAGCACCCATAGGTGCAGCTAAACTATACCCTCCCTAACAAATGCCGACCTATGCCGGGGTCACTACATATCGGGTGTACATCGTATACATTGTATAATAATTATATTACAAAAAAATTGGATTTTAAATGATTACAAATTAATATAATTTAAATTTAATTTTAAATAAATTTATATAAAAAAATTCATTCAAATAAACGATTTGATTGTAAACTGAAGTGATTGTAAAATTTAATATATAATATATATTATTGATCGCAAATATAATTAGCACGAACTTTGCATTATCACAAGAGTGCCATTAGTGGCCGCGTTTTGCATACCATTACACTTTGTGGTCGTAATTATGGAGTCGTTGGTGTTGTCCTTATCGGAGGCGTTCAGTAGGTCTGTCCGACTCCTGCGCTTCCGCTCGAGTGTGCCGTTGAGACGCGTAAAACTCGTGCTGTGGTTGTGATGATTGAGTCGGGAATTGCTGTGAGTGAGCGTCGAGTTCGGGTAGTGTTCGTCCATTCGTTTCAGTTTCCGCCTCTCCATTGTGTTCAACGATAGCGGCGTTTCGGCCACAGAGTTGTTGTTTGAGGCCAACTGATGCTGAGAGACGCTCTTCGACCGAAAGCTGCCGTTCATTGTGTTGTTTCGGTTGAGTGTTGAGCCGCCGTTGGATATCTCGCAGAACGGATTGACCCGAATGCTAATCTGGTGCGGATACTCGCCGTCCATCCGGTCTATTAGTGTCGATCGTGAGAGATAGCCGTTGGACGCGGCGGCCATCAGTGTGTTGGAGATGTGGCCGTTAGACCTGTGATGGTTAAAGATGTTGTGATTGCTGTGACTAAACATATGGTTGTGATTGTTTGCGCCCGCTTTCGGGTGTTTCTCTTTGGGCAGTTTGCCTGCCGACCCGTTTTGGCGGATTGTCTGCGGTTTGTGTCGCATAACACACAACACTATACACACAACAAACACGAGGACGAGTGCGCCCGCAGTGATAAATATAACAGTATATAATGTCTTGTCTTTATCGCCCTTCACGGGATCGATGGCACCGTTGATGTTGTTGTCCGAGTGGTCCTTCTTATGGCCCTTGTCTTTGGCGATCTCAGGGCTGGACTGAGTCTTAACCATAAATATATTAGAGAAGTCTGAAGTGCCCGCGACGTTAAAGCACTGCATCTTAATGTCATACGTGGTGTCCGGCAATAAATGAGTGATTATATGAGATCTGGTATTAGCGCCAATTGCGGTCACTTTTAAGTAATCGCCGGCAGATATGGACGCGCGATAGTAAATGAAGAATCCCTCGATGGCCACGGAGTCGATGTCATAGTAATCCCATTTCATAGTGATTGCGGACGGACTGACCGGTTCGGCGTGAATAATAACCGGTCCGTTGAGTGGCTTCTTCATCGGCGGATCCTTAAAGAGTGTGAATTTAATAGAGTTTGGACCCAATTTGTTGTCATTGTTTGAATAGACGGCTGCGATTCGGAACCGATATTTGGCTCCAGTGGTCAGTCCGTTGACAGCGTAAGAGAGTATATGGGGTGCGATGTCGTCGTCCACTGTATTCCAATCGCTGCCTTTGGCCGTCATTTCCCGGTATTGGACTTTGAAGAACCTGATGGGCAGTCCGTCGTTGTGCGGCACATCCCACCGAACCATAACCGAGTCCTCACTCAGTCGAGTCACCTCTGGTTTGGTCGGCGGAACCATTTTCACGCCTTTATTCTTATTATTTCGTCGACTACTCGGAGCTCTACTAAAGAGGTCGTCCTCTTCATCGATGAGTTCAGTGTCGGCGCTGTTCTCAATGGGATTCGAGTCGTCTTCGTTCTCATTGATGTCCACTTCCTTTACGTTATGATTAGATTCGGTTTGGCTTTGACTTAACGTAAGCACATTGACAACAGTCATGGCATAAGTGGATCCCAACTCATTGGTGGCGAAGCACTGATACATTCCTGAATGCAAATCACTTTTGGCGTTCACTATCGACAGCTTTGATCCATCGGTTCCTTTAATTACGATCCCATTCTTATTGGATATTTCTGGTGTGATCTGAACGCCATTGTGGAACCAATCGACAACTGGTCGCGGCTTGCCTTTGGTACTGCACTCCAACACAATCTCCTGCCCTTCCATCACCTCTTTCTCGTCAATCGCTGTCTTTCTAACAAATTGTGGTATTTCTTGGATTTCGAGGACAGAGTTGGCGGAGACGGCAGTATTGGGCGATGCATTGGAGGCCATACAGACATAGGTGCCGTCATCGCCTCGCCTCACGTTAACCAGTATAAGATTGCCGGCGTCTTGAATGGCTCGGCCTTTGGGCAGATGTCCGTCAGACTTCTTCCACGTGATGGCCGGAGTGGGAGAGCCGGCGGCCGCGCACTCGAAGGTCACATTACTGCCCGTAACGGCACTGATATGTGATTTAGGGCTCACAGAAAACTTGACAGAATGAGAGTTATGATTGCGATGGGAGTGATGGGAGGGATTGTAATGAGAGTTGTGTTGGTTGTGATGATGTCTGGGCTGGCGATGAACCGACAGCTCCACGAAATGTGTGGCATATGTTCGTTGGGCCAGAAATGGGTTGTGAGCGACACATCTGTAGACACCAGCGTCTGATTCGCGGACATTCAATATTTGCAAATCTCCGGATGGCATCAAACGATACCTCTCTGTCCGTTCAATACCAATGCCATAGACATGAAAGACATTGAATTAATAAACAAAACTTATTGATTAAATGGTATATCACTTCTTACCTCTGGTTTTGTCAATGAGTGTTGAATTGACCACGAATTCTGTGACGGCGTTCGGGACACTGTATGGTGTCTGACAGGGTATCACAGCTGTGTTACCGGCGATGACCGCAACACTCACATTGTCTCTGCGCCCGAAGGGCTTAAGCTCTGCTAATATTAATTTCGCCGTTTGACTAATGATGGCCCGATTCTTGTGGTGCGCGAGACACTGGAACTCTCCTCTTGAGTACAATTGTGTCAAATGAATGGATTCATTGGCCAACGAATCGCTGGTATTGTCGCTATGTTTAGACATTTTTGGCAGTTTTAGGACCAGTTTGTGGCGATATATCTTCAGACCGGCCAACGAGTCCTGAAATAAAGGCATCCCAGCGTTGAGCCATCGGATCCCAGCGCTGGTCGGCGTTGCCGTACACTTGAAGACAGCGCGTCCGCCGTCGGGCGACACGTACTGAGAGGTCGGCTCCGACACGAACTGCAGGTTCGGCTCCGCGTGTCGTTTCCCATCACCACAGCTCTGATCCACAAAAGTGGACACAAATACTAATATACAATACGTGAAGATTAGAGAGTATTTCAATACTCTATCACTACTACCACTACTCGTGAGTCGATTAACCATTTTTTATGTCAAATATTGATGTTTTGGGCAAACATTGGACGCGAAGGTAAAGAGTGGAAGAGATAAACACTTGAGTCGCCAATTGTGGTGAGCGTTAACTCATGTCTCAAAGTAATCATCATTTCATACAACTATGCCATCCATTGGTAAAGCACTTGATTGCGGGCCATATGTTTGGCAACCCTTTGGAAGTGCTGTTAATCCACATTAAGGCACGAGTGAAGGCACTGAAAGGCACTGTCAGTACAGACCACTCATTGTCCGCAACAAATCGCATACATGTATGTCTTGCGGACCAGTTGTGGCACAACTGCTGCCACTCTCTCCTTCTCTCTCTCCCCTCAGTTCTCTGGCTTTAGTCTTACATTCACTTCGCTTTCTCTCTCCTTCTCTCTCTGAGCACTGGTTTTGAGCGACTCTTCTCTTCTTTTGGGACTCTCTTTGCAAACAAACACTGAATGCAAAGAAAGAGAGAAAGAAAGAGAAGGAATGTTAAGAAAGTGAAGGCAAGCGAAGGCTCTGTGAAGGCAAGTGTGAGCACAATATAGTGTATGAGAGGAGCACTTGAGATGCAGTGCCTGAAGGGAGACGGGATGTGTCCGACTATCCCAGAGCAGGGGGTTCTTCACCGATGGGCACAACTATGTGAACGAATCATACGAATGGTGTGTTTGGCATCACTTAAAGCTTCATAACTTCTCAAATGCTTGTCTGCATAGAAGAGCACGTATTATATCTGGCAATGGCTTTCGCAGCCCCGGACTAACACTACCACTGCTAAACAGCTCTCTCTCTCTCTCTCTCTCCTAATGAAACTTTTCAAATGAATAGTTTTTGGCATAACTTTCAAAACTTAAGAGAGAAATATATAAATATTGAAAAACTTTCTCGATTTCTCTGTTTAAAGATTTTTGTTTTTAAAGCAAATAATAAACACATAAAGTTTGATACAAGTGTTAAGAAGTATTCGGTATTATGTCTTATGAACGAAATCAATGGTTAAATCTGGTGGTAATCCATATATTCATTAGCTTATCATTTGTATGAATATTTAGAGTCTTAACAAAGTGAGGAAAAGTTTGAAATATGTGAGACCTGATCACATGCCCTCACATACCCTCCAACCAATCGCCAACACAATGATTAACAACCTGACAACAGGCACACAACGGCTACACCACCACTACCTCCACTCTAACACCACTACAACTACTCCAACACTACAGTAATCACAACAAAAAAACAACTTTCACTCAATAACCGACTCTCTCTCTCTCTCTCTCTCTCTCTCTCTCTCCCCCCTCCTGCCTCCCTCTCATTCTCCCTCATTCTCTCTTTCATTGCCAATCGCCTACTTATTGGTTAGTGAAAGCATTTTCAGTGAATAAGTGTTGGAATATCTGCTGTAATACCCATTACTGAAGTGTATTATTTGTTGGAACCGATGAATCGCTGATGGAGTGAATACTAGCGCCAGAGCACCGACCAGTGCCTCCTCACTGGTCTCTATAGTCTCTGCAAACAAATGCAAATTAATGAACATTTAATGATGTGATTGAAATCAAAACCACTCATTATATGGCAGAGAAACTGCTCATCTAATTAAACACAGGTATCGGTTGGCATTGTATTAGTTATGTAGAAACACTAGTGACAGGCCAAACAGGCAGGTGCCCTATCATTGCCCTATCACTGCCCCATCACTTCTATCGTAATGGTTTGAAACTCATAATTAAGAATAACCTACAAAATCGATGCCACAATATATCTGCGCTCATATTTTCTCTATTATTAAGCATTTGTTCCGCACTTTTCTGCAAATGAAATGATATTTTTGTTCAATAAATAATATCGTGTTTTTCATTCAACAAATTTTGTTCACTTTCCTAAACTTGTATTCCTCGCCATTATATGCTTATACTATGCGTGAAATGCTTTTCACAACAATAAAAGGCAATTTTGATTCCCAAATATTTTGATGGCATTCCATCACAAGTTGCCTAAACTTTTTGAAATACCATAATATCCCACACGTAATGTGGGAGAGCTTTCAAACGCGAGAATTACTTAAAATTATTTCATTTTGATTTTAGAATATCTTTTAGAATATTAATATTTTTTGAATTCCAATATATTTATTGTAATTATATTGCTTTTAATATAAAATTTAATACACAAATCTAACTCAATAGTGTACTTTTGTAAGCAATAGTCCACGCTCAATTGTTCAAATGTTCACTATACTACATTCAACAAATAACACATCCCATGCTATCACTGTGATATAATGGTAAGGTATTTGACGAAAATATGTTGTGATAATTGGCTTTCTGTCAAATATTTTTCATTTAAATAATAATAATATCAAAGTCTATAACTTTTGGATCACTTTTATTAGAGTGAAGAGACTATGAGAAGGCAAGTCTGCTCTCACGGATCATATCATATCTATTCTGAAAACAATTTATCCCATTATAACGAGTAGTCCGGATGTGTGCGGAGGGGGAGAGAGTGAGTGTGAGTGAGAGAGACTTTGAAACATTGCATATGTTTGTTGTGTTATATATACTACAATATATTCTGGTCGAGAGTTCTCGTCTATTATTTAATACAAGAGTCAAATGCACACAACAAACGAAACCCAAAGCCTATTATTTGAGTTAACAATTTGTTGAAATAAATGCAATTATTTTCACTCATATTTTCCTAAAATATAGTTTTTTCTCTCAAACGTAAATAATTTGAAAAATGCCCCATAAATACAGAAAGTGCACAAAACACCGTTCAAATGCATGACATAACGAATACATTGGATATTTTATTGATTTATTGTTTAAGATTGTGTTTATTTAGGGGACAATTGGTGGTTGTTTTGTATGCTTTTCACTAATTTATAAAATTATTTTGAATATTTTCACACAACTATTAAAGTTCTGAAAAAATAAAGCACACAAATAGGGAATAGAAATGGCATTACTATAACACTACTGGAGACGAGAATCTATGAAAACTTTACGCATAAAAAGAGGAATTTAAATTCAAAATTGTTGACAACTTTACGCATATAAAGTATAGTGCAGTGAAAATCTCAGGTATTTTATAGATTACACAAATCTAGAAAATTAGGTGCAATTTATCAGCGCTTTTTTATGTGAAGTGCAAACCTATCATTGAATTGCGATATACGGGGCGTCAAAGCATAGGCAACGACAGCCCCATTACAAAAATTGTATACCCAGAATCTGTTGATCGCGATTCTGCACTAAACTAACTAGAGTTCAGTGGATTATAGCGTGAAAGCGTAAATCGATACCCTTTTCAAAGTGTCCATGATCATTTCACACACTCTTCACAGCCCCCACACATTCCGCAATTACAGCTTATATTACAATTAAACGCTCATTTGTGGCTACCATTGCGTAATCAACACTATATCTCATATGATTGCGTAAATTTGCACATTTTTGTGCATTTATTTATCAATAGTCGCCAATAAATAATCGCACAATTAATTGAATTTGAAATGTTTTGTGAAATAAAAACTTTTGAAAAACTTGTAAATATGAGTGGGAGAGGAGTGAAGAGTGAGAGAGGGAGGGATAGGGAGAGAAAATATGACGGTATGTTGTGGTGGAAGACCTGCAGTGGAAGTGTTGGTGACATCCAGTGATTGAGACAAGTATTGCAGTGTTTGTAGGGATGAGTCGAGAGATGGCATCGGATGTGTGGCACCAAAAAGTAGGCGTAAATCGCGGATCGAAATGAGTGTTGGGTTTGCAATGCATTCAATGCATTGGATTCTGTGTTGAGATATTGTGTACACAAATCATTGATTGCTATTCAATACAAGCAATTAAATCAATTGAATTGTGTTTTTCATTAGTGTTTAAAAGTGATATATTTGTAAAGAAAGCAATAATTAATTTAGTAAACAATTAAACCGATAGTCGACTAATCGCTAACAATAATGGTAAGTGTGTTTGGTTTGTGTCAATTCAATTCAATACCAATACATTAATTGCCATTTAATGCCATTTTCATAGTGTGTATGATTTTGCAGATATGTATTGATCACTATATTTATCATTCATTCATTTGACACTATATTCTTGTGTCCAAATGTTAGCCGCGAAACACTATATACTGTTTCACTGATTTAGTATACAATGACTTGTAATAAATGCCAACACTTTTTATTATCGCATGAATTGAAGCAATGATTCAATGATTGAATGCAATTGTGTTTCACAGCAAATACACTGATTATCAGGTTTTGTGTTTTTAATAGTCGTTGAGATAATAGTCATTAAATGATGTATTAATGGGAGCTTTCGCTACACAAATAACCTAATAGTTTCTCACCCATTTTTATAATGGTTGGCTTTCGGTCTATTCACAAAAGTCATTTAAAATAAAGAAATTTAATTATTAAATACACATTTTAATTAGATTTGTGATATTGTTTGCGATTATCAACAAGTTTATTAATATTTGACTCAATAATACTTATGTGTTTAATATATGCATTCATTTGAATGATTGATAATTCTTAATTTAATCATTAAAATATAATTTTAATATTGAGATTACACTTGGCTTTACTACTCCAACTTACTAATAGTAAGTACAGTGCCTATCAATATATAAAAACTTTGCGCATAAAAAGCGGAATTTAAATTCAAAATTGTTGACAACTTTACGCATATAAAGTATAGCGCAGTGAAAATCTCAGGTATTTTATACACAAATCTAGAAAATTAGGTGCAATTTATCAGCGCTTTTATATGTGAAGTGCAAACCTATCATTGAATTGCTTAATACGGGGCGTCAAAGCACAGGCAACGACAGCCCCTCCACAAAAATTGTATACCCAGAATCTGTTGATCGCGATTCTGCACTTAACTAACTAGAGTTCAGTGGATTATAGCGTGAAAGCGTAAATCGATACCCTTTTCAAAGTGTCCATGCTCATTTCACACACTCTTCACAGCCCCCACACATTCCGCAATTACAGCTTATATTACGATTAAACGCTCATTTGTGGCTACCATTGCGTAATCAACACTATGTCTCATATGATTGACTAGATTTGCACATTTTTGTGCATTTATTTATCAATAGTCGGCAATAAATAATCGCCAAATTAATTGAATTTGAAATGTTTTGTGAAATAAAAACTTTTGAAAAACTTATAAATATGAGTGGGAGAGGAGAGGGGAGTGAGAGAGGGAGGGATAGGGAGAGAGAATATGACGGTATATGTTGTGGCGGAGGACTCGCAGTGGAAGTGTTGGTGACATCCAGTGATTGAGACAAGTATTGCAGTGTTTGTAGGGATGAGTCGAGAGATGGCATCGGATGTGAGGCACCAAAAAGTAGGCGTAAATCGCGGATCGAAATGAGTGTTGGGTTTGCAATGCATTCAATGCATTGGATTCTGTGTTGAGATATTGTGTACACAAATCATTGATTGCTATTCAATACAAGCAATTAAATCAATTGAATTGTGTTTTCCATTACATTGATTAGTGTTTAAAAGTGATATATTTGTAAAGAAAGCAATAATTAGTTTAATAAACAATTAAACCGATAGTCGACTAATCGCTAACAATAATGGTAAGTGTGTTTGGTTTGTGTCAATTCAATACCAATACTAATACATTAATTGCCATTTAATGCCATTTTCATAGTGTGTATGATTTTGCAGATATGTATTGATCACTATATTTATCATTAATTCATTTGACACTATATTCTTGTGTCCAAATGTTAGCCGCGAAACACTATATATTGTAAACTGATTTAGTATACAATGACTTGTAATAAATGCCAACACTTTTTATTATCGCATGAATTGAAGCGTACTAAGTTACTAACTTACGTTAACACAAAGTGTCGTTTATGTGACTAATAGTCCAAAACACAAAAATTATCAGCAACTCTATTATCAGTAATTTACTACATAATTACCCTCGAAAGCGATGTGTTTCACTTGAAACCCCTTTTTATGCAAATTTTAATTTTTGAATTAATTGACAATTAAATAAATGGTTATATAATAGCCATAAACCCAATGAATACACGATTAAAACTAATGGTGTTTTGTATGTAACGATAGGCCGGTGCCGCTGAGCGTATGGCGAATTTGCCCAAACTCCGGGACGTGAACAAGGAGTCCATCTATGGCTATGTTTACGCCGTTTCTGGTCCTGTGGTGACCGCCGAGCAGATGTCCGGCGCCGCGATGTACGAGTTGGTACGCGTCGGACACGAAGAACTGGTCGGAGAGATCATCCGTTTAGAGGGCGATATGGCCACCATTCAGGTCTATGAGGAGACCTGTATGTTATACACATATCTTTGTAGTGATTTCATAATTATTAATTCATATCTCGTGTCTCTCTGTCCACAAACAGCTGGTGTAACGGTTGGGGATCCAGTGCTAAGAACCGGCAAACCCTTGTCCGTAGAGTTAGGACCGGGTATTATGGGCAGCATTTTTGACGGCATTCAGCGACCACTCAAAGACATTCACGATATGACACAAAGCATATACATTCCCAAAGGCATTAACACAACGGCACTCAATCGCAGTCTTAAATGGGATTTCTTTCCCCAATACGTCCGCATTGGGAGTCACGTGACGGGAGGCGATGTCTACGGCTATGTCCACGAGAACACACTCATCAAACATAAGATCATTTTGCCGCCGAAGGCAAAGGGAACCGTCACTTTCGTCGCTGAGCCCGGAAATTATGACTTGAATGTAATTATGGTTTTATTATGTANCGTCCGCATTGGGAGTCACGTGACGGGAGGCGATGTCTACGGCTATGTCCACGAGAACACACTCATCAAACATAAGATCATTTTGCCGCCGAAGGCAAAGGGAACCGTCACTTTCGTCGCTGAGCCCGGAAATTATGACTTGAATGTAATTATGGTTTTATTATGTACTCATTCATTGAATCATTCATTCATTTATTTATCCATTTATATTATAAAAACATGATTTCCTTTACATTATTATCATTATAACGATCTCTAATCAGTTTACGCTTCAAAGACTTTTCATTCATTAGGATTTGTTGACATTTAGTTGATGTAAATTTAACGCTCAAATGTTTACTAATTATGTTTTTTATGACACAATTGAAAGGATGTGATACTGGAGACTGAATTTGATGGCGAGAAGTCTCAGTATACGATGCTTCAGGTATGGCCGGTGCGGCAGATGAGGCCCTGTACCGAGAAGTTGGCGGCTAATCATCCACTACTGACGGGTCAACGAGTTCTGGACGCGCTGTTCCCGTGCGTTCAGGGCGGCACAACTGCCATTCCCGGCGCCTTTGGTTGCGGCAAAACTGTCATCTCTCAGGCGTTATCCAAATATTCCAACAGTGATGTCATTATATACGTCGGTTGCGGTGAGAGAGGCAACGAAATGGCCGAAGTGT